CGTCGCAGCTGCCGCCGCCGCTGGCCAAGACCGCCCTCCTGGCGCCGCCTCTGCCGCCGCCGCCTCCACAGCGGCACCGGCGGCGGCCAGCCCCGCGCCTGTGTCCGCCTCTGCGGCACGCTGTCCTGTCGCCTCCGCCCTTGCTCTGATTGACGATCCAGCGGGAGCCGGCAAACAAGGTGACGCTGTGCCCGCCAGCCCGTTCGCCACCCGGCGTTCCAGCTCGGATGCTCAGACGCCCCCGGTGGCCACAGATCAACATTGCCGGATGTTGATTGGTGGGGATGAGGAAGAGGTGTAAAATCCTGCAGTTGTTGCTGGACCATGGGCTGCTGAAGAGTAGCGCTTGCGCCGAAAGAGATGCGATTGGACACCGATGACCTCTGCAAACCAGGTGTCCAAAAGCTCGTATATCATCATCATCATAGAGATTCGGTTGTTATGCTCGAGTTTTGGTACAACTTTTCGATGTAGTTATCCGGCCTGCTTCATCTTGACCCCATATCCATCCAGACCCTCGAGGCTCTCTCAGCGTCGGATCGCCGTTGCCGTGGTGCCCGCCGTTGCGGAGTGTTGGTGTCGATGGTGGCTGGGTGTTTACTTCTTGGCGCTCTGGCCGTCAGCGAGCCCCAGAGTGGGAGAGGGAGAGAGGTCAAAACCGGACCGACTATTGATTCGCTGACTCCGGCGTCTTGTGATGACGCAACGGAGCCGCCTCCGGCTCGGCGGGGGGGAGGGTTGCGTTCAGCGGCCGCCTGCCCCCGTCGGTACTGAACAATGACCATCGCTCATCGGACGGGCATCCCGGTCGGTTCGGTACACCGGCTCATTTGGGCCGATCGATGTGAAGCATGGGATTCTCGGCGTGGTCGTAGGTAGTGCGCTGGCAATGTTCTTTTTCAGGGTACTGTGCTGCAATGGGGAAGGCTAGTATCAAATATCGCTGCGGAGGGCGCTAATGAAGCAATGTTTTTATGTTATGTTTCATATATGGTGTCCTTTCATGTTGATGGCGATTCGTGTTTGCTGAAAATCTTACCTTGCAGGACTACTTAGTACTTACTGTGACAATTTGTGTTTGTGAACTGCTGTTCGTCGCCGTTCGAGATGATGATTGTTGTTGAACCTGACGGTATAGCTGATGTTTTTGCACATTGAGATCGGTCCGGTCAGCAACTGACTGAATTTCTCGATAAATTTGATTTTGTGGTAGGGTTTAATAGTTTTCCGAAAGCTTCCTCACTCGTATTAAACTAAGCATTTAAACTTTTTTGTATCATAACCTACCTAATTATATGATCAGGGATCCAATCGAACCATCGTTGGGCTGACAGCAGTGGTGTAGGCCGAAGTTGTGCCCAGCTCCTCGCTGTGTAGGCGGAAGTTGTGCCCAGCTCCTCGCCGGAGTTGTCGAGGAAGTTTGTGGACGGTTCGCGCTGTTCCTAGGGGACCTCACGGCCAGCCTTGGTCTCGTCACTGCCTGCTGCCGCCCTCTGTCCTTGTGTGCCCTGTTGTGGTCGGCACGTGGTCGAAAGGGTATCAATTATCAGTGAGGCCCGCGACACCTCCCGAATAGCTAGTTCGAGTGGAGGTTTGGGTTATCCCATAGGAAGTTAGAGCAGAATTCATTGCGGTGTTCTTCAGTACAGTCGACTTTCCCGGACGGCTACGAAGAAGCAATTACTATTTTTATGCACTTTGTCTGATTGATTTTATGCCTATAAATGTCGATAAGTGCTTATCGAGAAGGCTGTATGTCCGTCTAACTAGGGACCCCTGCTGTAATTTTACGTTCTGCCGCGACTTGCGCATGTAGTATATAGGTGTTGCTCTGTGTCTTGTCCCATTTTAGTTTCGTAAAACGTCCTTTCGGAATTTCAGCAGCTCTGCGTGCGACCTCACCCCGTGTTAGAGCCATTCACCTGTTGAAGCGTCCCTGCTCGATGTCTTCGATCTTTGGAGCGAGGCCTTTGGAAGGCAAACCATCGCTTTATCATCGTCTTCGCCTCTGGAAATCGATCCTGAGCACAAACATGGTTGCTATAGCTCCGACGCTCTCGAATTTTTGAGTGGCTCGGCTATTGTGCTTCCCATGATCCACCGGCCAGGCGGCCAAAGGTTTAGATCGCACCCGCGTCACACAAGTAGATAACAATTCTGAGCTCTAAACACCAACATACCCTCGCGGGGAATCGACATGGAATATGGATCCTCAACTCTGCCTGTAGTCATACATGAGGAATGGGGCAAGCGTTTCGAAGGCCAGCAGTTGCTCTTTGTCTGCTCTTTTTCTATCGGTCCTCGTGCTTGGGCTGGTTCCTTACCGGTGCATTGGCGCTTTTTAAAAAATGAGGTTATGATCTAATGAAACCGAAGATAACCTGCATGTTGTGTCCTTTGAGAGATGTTTTTAGGGGGAACCCGAGCACTCACATGTCAGTGATACCCATTACCCTCATGCCTCCGAGCAGCTTGGCGCGGCGGGTTGCGGGCCGGCACCCTGCAGTGACCCGGTGTGCGAGTGGACGGTCGGGTCGGGCCATCACAGTGCACAGCCGGACTGAGGTCAGTGCCCGCCGGCCGGCCGGCACACGCCGTCGACAGTTCCGGTGTGTCGGACCGGGCCCGTGTTGGTCCATCCGAGCCGCGGGCGCCGCAGCCCCGGCAGCCGGCAGCGAGCGGCCGCCGGCGGCGGCGTCCGACCCCGCCTCGCCCGCTCACCAGACACCTTTGTGTGGACCGCATTTGGCGTCGTCTTATTTTGGCGACGGATGGCCGCGAACCCCCGTCTGCCACCCCCACTTCCATCGGCTGCCCACCGAGAAACTGATGCACGACAAAAACAATGAACACATGCGCCGACGGCCGGTGTTGGGTCGGGATTTTTCCGTGATGACTCGTGACAGACGTCTGTCGAGTATCTCGACTCGGGAGTGACGGCCAGCCCGGGCTCACGGCGGCGCTGGGAGTCGGTCGCCATGATCGGATTGCGTGGTCGGCTGCGTCGCCGGCCGAGCAATTAGAGGCGGCCGCCGCGTCGTCGGCGCTCGGGCCGGCCGACGGACGGACGTGCTGGGTGCCTCCGGCGCACCGCCCGGGGACCGTGTGAGGTCACGGTCAGCTCGGGTCGGCGGCACTGCTCGCAGGACAAGGGATCGGGTCAGGTGATGAATGGGCGGCGCACGGCCGGCGCCGGCGCCGGAGACGGGCCGGGATTAGGGCCAGGACCGGTTCTGGCGTGCCTGCCGTGATGACAAGAGAACGGAAAACCCGGCCGGCCGGCCGCCGCGGACCCTTTCCGTACGAATCCGACCTTGCTCCTTTGCTGTGCTTTGGGCTAGTTTTGGGCCGAGCTGCACTTTCACGTCTGTGAACGGCTTACTCGCGTAGTAACCCGACATAGTAACTCGACATACTCTGTGCAGTCGAGCCCAGAGCGTGTGTGACCCCTCCTGACTGCGACCCGTCATGCAGCGTTCCTGCCCCGGTTTTCCTTCCGTCAGGTGGACCCTGTTCCCGACCCACCCCTCCGTATGTCACGGGCGGCCCGACCGAGGCCTCCCGGTCGGACCCATTGAACCCATCGCTGCCGTACCCAACAGCGGTAGTGATACCGCCCGCCTGCTGTGAAAGGTGCGGCCGATCAGGTTGCACAGGTGGCGCCCTCTGCGTCGTACTCTATGGCAGCGGCCTGCATCGCTTTCTCGTCTCACCGATAACTTCCGAGTAACGTTGGGAGCAACTGAAACATTTTACCATCATCTCCAGCATCCTAACTTCAGCTATGAAGCTTGTTTATTGGTCCTCTGTAAGACATTGTAGCAACGGCCAACGGTATGCGGCTTCGACTTCGTGGGTTATCGGGCTGCTCGCATGGTCTGATCGCATCACTTTCCGAAAACAGAGTATCTCGGAATGAGTGGGGCTGGTTTTCAGCGGTCCTTGGGCCGTCCGGCCAGCCGTGCTGCAGCGGCTGGCCAACGGCTGATGGAGAGTTCCTCGGGAGGTGTCTTACCAACAATGGCGGATCCAGGGGGGGGAGGGGGCAAAATGGGCATTTGCCCCTCCCAAACGGCATAATTTTAACATTACGCCTATGGACGAGGCATGGAAAGAATCTATAAATTGTTATGGTTTGCCCCCAAAAAACTCTGAGCTGGATCCGCCTCTGCTTACCAACATAGTGTCAGTGTGACGTCAGGGAGGGTCATCGGTGTCGTAGCAGAGTAGGCATGGAGGAATGGGGCATAGCGACAGTCTGTAGGACTCTTGACTGAGTCCTGCGGCGTATATGGTTAGTGGTGGTAGAATCTCTACCACAGGTGTGCCATGAAACCCCAATGCACTACTACGAGATTCTGCAACGTTGTGTCATCACTGCTGTGTGCCCCGTGATAATGTATTCCGATCTTCTTCCATGCATACGCCGGTAGAGCCTTCATCGCACCCCTATGACTAGCTCAAAACTGGTCCAGGCTTTCACCCCACGTTCGCTTAGCCTTGGCTGGCTAAGCCCTCCACCCCTCTGTTCGATATATTGTATGTATGTATGTATGTATGTATGTATGTATGTATGTATGTATGTATGTATGTATTCATCTAAAATCCGTCCACATGATGGCTTTTCGGGATTTGCGTCAATACAAGATAGCACACTCATGGAACGACAGAATAAAACGAGACATTAGAGCAGACACTCGCCATATTCATAAAATACATAAAAAGGTGAAGGTTTAAAATGTGAGAGTTTAAAATATTACTCACATTATCTGTAACATGTTATATTCTGTATCGCCATTAGCAACTACCAATCACGAAAAATTACGGTTTGATATCCTTTTGAGTTAACCCATAAATATGTTCGAAAACGTGTGTCGACGGTTTGGCCATTATTCGCACACTAGAGCTGCTTTTCGGCTTTGTCTGACGGCCACCAGTGTCTACATCAGTGTCCGTCTACACCAGTGTCAGCCTCTAACCTATCTCTCCTGTCCATCCAGGTGCCTTAGAGGAGGAGGGTGGCAGCGGCAGCGGCAGTGGCAGTGGCGCCGGCGGAGACCGCGAGGGCGGCGAGTCAGACGCGGCGCTCCAGCGTCACCTGCTCAACCAGCGCGAGCTGTTCCTGTCACGGCAGGTGGAAACGCTGCCGGCCACCCACATCCGCGGCAAATGCTCCGTCACACTGCTCAACGAGACAGAGAGTCCCGAGAGCTACACAGGCAGAGAGGTAAGAAATAGTGAGAGCTATACATGCAGAGAGGTGAGAGTCCTGAGAGCTACACAGGCAGAGAGGTGAGGATTGAGAGAGCTATACACTAGGCAGGCAGAGAGGTGAGGGACGGGGAGAGCTACACAGACAGAGAGGTGAGTTGTGGGGAGCTATACATGCAGAGATAAGAGTCGGGGAGAGCTACACAGGAGAGCTACACAGGCACTAGGCAGAGAGGTGAGAGTCCCGAAATCTATACAGGCAGATATGTGGGATACGGGGAGAGCTTCACAGGAGAGCCACACACTACACAGGCAGAGAGGTGAGAGACGGGAGAGCTACATAGTCAGAGGGGTGAGGATTGAGAGAGCTATACAGGCAGAAAGGTGAGTTTGAACGACAAAGGCATTGGAAATGACACTGGCGAGCATTGGCAGAGCCACAGGAAGAAATGGTTGTTCGTTGAATTGAGATAAGGCAGAGGCAATGTTAACTCACCAGGAAGTGTTGTGGGCCATATAAGCGAAGGTCGGGAACACTGCGCTGAGCTATCACTGGGCAGAGTTAAGGGCTTTATGGGCCGGTCAGAGATCTACGGGAGGTCATTACGCGTTTTGTTGGATTTTCAGTGCCGCTCATTGCCTTTATTGCACTTGGAAGTGACCCACAAACACCGAGACCTGACACGGTTTGCTGGTTAGAAAGACACCTCTAACCAAAACGATTATAGAGCTAAGGACGCTTTACTGCCAACCGATGCTGTCCTCCTTTGAGCAACATGCTGCTTAAATATCGGTGCTGTGTTCTCCTTGCCCCATTCTCCTTCGAAGTGCCTACCTCCTAACCCTCTGCCGCCGTTGAATGCACATGTGTCTGACATGCTGTGCTCCGTTCCAGAACTGTTTCTTCTACTCGCTAGTGTACGACCCTCAGCAGAAGACGCTGCTCGCCGACAAGGGCGAGATCCGCGTCGGCGGCAAATACCAGGCGGACATGTCAGTGGCGACACTGCGGCCGCCCGGCGAGCCCGACCCGCGCCGATCCGAGGACCTGGAGACGCTCGTCTGGACGCCCAACCACGACCTACCCGACCGACAGATCGACCAGTTCATGGTTATCGCCAGGTCGGTGCAGTGACGGACGGGGTGGGGTGGCGGGGTGGGCTGTGGCGTGTAATCAGAGGAGTTAAGTGCTTTAGCGGGCGGGAATGGATGCTAGGTGTTGTTGGGTTTTGAAAGGATAGGCTGCTGGGTTTCTTGCTGTGCCAGGAAGGATGGTTCGACTCTCCGGTGTATCCATAGGAACTGGGTGTTACGAAACCGCGCGACGCTGGCGGTCGTTCACTGTGCGGAGTGAGGGTGGTCAGGGACCCGCGGCTCGGCTGGGGCAGTGCAGCCCAGTGCTGGTGGATCGCTATCACGACAGTGTATCCGACCAAGCCCCCTGGCCAGTGTCCTGCTGGTGGCGAGCAGCGGACCGTGCGAGCGGTACTGCCGTGTGCGTGTCATACATCCGGTGACAGCGGCGTGCGTTTGCAGCTAGACACACGCCCACTTATGTGGCCTTGTCCGCCACTGTGTCCGTGATCTAACGGTGCCTTACGCGTTGTGTGTGCGCTGCTGACGGACGGCTCCACTCACAGGTCGGTGGGGACGTTCGCGCGCGCCCTGGACTGCTCCAGCTCCGTCAAACAGCCCAGCCTGCATATGAGCGCTGCTGCCGCCTCCCGCGACATCACGCTGGTTAGTCACCGCGTCACCGCCGAGCGACCGAGCGGCCCAGCTCTGTGTATCTCTGTGTGTCTTCGTCTCTTATTCTCTCTGTCTGTCTGTCTCTGTCTCTCCCATCTGCCTCTGTCTTCAGCCATACTTTAGTGAACCTGTTTCATGTAATCTTTCGTTTTGATGCACAGTTTTGACAGGGTTTTGTCATGCTTACAAGCATTCGTTGTATTAAGTTGGATTATTCCAGTTTGAGGAAGTTTGCTTACTTACATGGTAAACGCCATGGCGTATGCCATTAATTGGCATTGTACAATGTACGCTGACATTCCTAGCTTGACCGCAGTGGCAACATTTACCTCGTGATTGTGTATTCAGTGTGTTTTGCTGATGAAACGTGGGGTGAATTCGTATGCGGTCATTCAGGTCACTTCATTATATTTAGCTACCACTACTTTGGCATTCTGACTCACCGTGGGGTGTTTTTTTTTTTTTGCCTGCGGCGACGCGACTGCTTCTTTGCGCTTCGTTGTCTTTCTCTGACTCTGTTCTCCCGCTCTGCCGGCCTGTTTCGCGTCACTGTCACTCCGCTAACCGGTCTAGCTCACTCTCTTCTCCTCTAATGACCCGCTCTAACCACCACTCTCCCTGTGCCGCTCAGTTCCACGCTATGGACGTGCTCCATAAGAACGGCTACGACATGTCGCGCGCGCTGGCCTCGCTGGTGCCCAGCAGCGGTCCCGTCCTCTGCCGAGACGAGATGGAAGAGTGGTCCGCCAGCGAGGCCAACCTCTTCGAGGAGGCGCTCGAAAAGTACGGCAAAGACTTCAACGACGTCCGGCAAGACTTTGTGAGTAATGACAGACGGGAATCATTGGTGTTTGCTGCACAAGCAAGCCACAGCAGTGAGAGCTAGTTTTCTGTGTTCGTGATTCAATTGCAGTTTAGTTCAGAGTCTTTATTGAACGGAATGCCATGCCAATCTACATGGGACGGTCGATTTGACTGTAGGATGAAGGAATTGCCACTTTCAGTGACCCCACGGCTCCGTTGTCAAGCTCACTGTGCTGTTTTATCTAACCCTTCGGTATGGGCTGCTTTGTCGATGCGTGTACTGTGACGTGGCATGCTGTTTACCGTGACGTAGCTGTGACGTGTCCTGCTCTCTCCTTCCCCAGTTACCATGGAAGAGTAACGCCCAGCTGGTAGAGTACTACTACATGTGGAAGACGACCGACCGGTATGTGCAGCAGAAGCGCGTCAAGGCTGTCGAGGCCGAGTCGCGCCTCAAACAGGTCTACATTCCAAACTACAACAAACCCAACCCGGCCGCGCTGAGCAACGGCAAAATGGTCAACGGCGCCGGCGGACCCGACTCGGGCCGGCCCTGCTCCGGATGCTCGGGTGAGTCGGAGGGAGATGATAGTGGAAAACGGGAAAGGCAGTTGTGTAGAAGGGCCGCCGCCGAGCGTTGGAAAGCAACTGGCGAGGCGAGGGAAGGCAGTGGTAGCCTGCTGTGTCTGGCTTGGCAGCGACTTTGGGGAAGTTTGGTGTTGGCGCCCTGTGCCGTGTAGAAGTTACTGAGGCCTACCCAGATTTGATAAGCTGCTGGGCAGGCTCACATTAACTTTTGTAAGTTATAGCGGAGCTTGCAAAGCAAAAAAAAAATGTTTGGCTTTTTTGTCCTGCAGAAGTGTTTGCGATTGGTTCGGCCTAAAACCGTTGCTTTGATTGTTCGCTCTGTGGATGTATGCTGCATTGACCCTTGCCCTACCGCCCTACCCGCTGTTCCTATTCGTTCCACCTTTGTTGTCCGTGTGTAACGTGTCTCTGTCTGGCCCGCCCCCAGAGACGCACTCGCCGCAGTGGTACTCCTGGGGCGCCGCGCACCTGGGCGGCCGGCTCTGCGCCGCCTGCTGGGACCGCTGGAAAAAGTACGGCGGCGTGCTCAAACCGAACGTGGAGGAGGGCGCCGGCGCCGAGCGACCGCCCTCTGCCGGCGGCGAGAGCGAGCACTCGGCCGGCTCGGCGTCGCTGGTGAAGCTGCACCGCTGTCCGGCGTCCGGCTGCCCGCAGGAGTTCCGCCAGCGCGGCCAGCTGATCCGGCACGCGGCCAACGCGCACGGCCTGCTGCTGCCGGGCACGGGCAGCACGCGGCCCGTCACACGCACACGGCCCAGCTTCTTCCTGGCGCCCACGCCGATGACGCGCCTGTCGCGCCGGCTGTGCCGGCACCTGATCAAGCCGCGGCGCGCCGCGCGCACGCCCATCCACGCCATCAACGTGGCCGCCATACGCGCCGAGTGTGAGTGGGCCGGGAGGGCCGCGCCGGCAACCAGCGAGCTGCCTGTGTGGAGAGTAAAGCCATGCCAGACGGTTAAAACGAAACGTGTCCGGCTTGATATTTTCTCTCTTGGAACATTCATAACTTTTGCTAGTGTTCTGTTTTATGTCAGTAATCGAGTCAACGTGTATGCTTGTCATCGAAAGACAATAATGCGACGTCTAGTGTTGTTCTGGGGCTAAACATTTAAATATTTCAGTCAAAGCTTGCCTTGCATGATGCATGTCATGACGTCTGTGTTGCCGTTTGTACCGAGCAGGCAGCCAGCTGAAGTAGGAGCGAGGAATGCTTAATTCTACCGTAAATTCACGCTTGTGTCTATATTGTTTTCTAAGCAGGCAGGCAGTTGCTGATGTCGGAGCGAGTGGGTTGGTTCTTTGGCCTGCCGTGTAGCTGAGCTGACGTCTGTCCCCGTGTGTTCTCCGAGCAGGCAGCCAGCTGATGTCGGAGCGCAGTGAGGAGGAACTGCAGGCGCTACTGCAGGCGCGCTGCAAGCCGCGCGACCGGGGCACGGCGGCCGCCATCGGGCCCAAGCTGGGCCACCAGCTGCAGCACCCCGAGTGGATGGTGCCGGCGCCCGGGCCGGCGCCGCAACCCGACCGCGTCGCCTTCCCCAAGCCGCCCAAGGCGCCCGGTACGTGCCATGGGTAGACTGCTGTGTGCTGTCATGGGAGTGTTACGGTCGGTATAGGGTTGGGTGGTCTCTCTCTCTCTCTCTCTCTCTCTCTCTCTCTCTCTCTCTCTCTCTCTCTCTCTCTCTCTCTCTCTCTCTCTCTCTCTCTCTCTCTCTCTCTCTCTCTCTCTCTCTCTCTCTCTCTCTCTCTCTCTCTCTCTCTCTCTCTCTCTCTCTCTCTCTCTCTCTCTCTCTCTCTCTCTCTCTCTCTCTCTCTCTCTCTCTCTCTCTCTCTCTCTCTCTCTCTTTCTCTCTTTCTCTTCATCATAGTTTACTCCTTTCTTTCCTCCCTCTCGCTCCTCTGTTTTCTCCGCATTCGTATCTTCCATCTCTCCCCTTTCTTCCTCCGTGGACTGTCGCCAACCTACCGCTTCCAACTGGCAGTGCCCACGGCGACCAGAGTGGGGCCCCTGTGCCGGACTGGGAGCCTCATCTCGTGGCGTCGTGTCACGTCCTGCCCTGACAAGTGTACTGGATCCAGGCGTGACGACACTTCTCGTCATGTTCGGGAGAAATCTGTTAACACTCATTCAGGCGTGATGTGCGGCTTAGTGTACGAACTGGAGCGGGCAAACTCGGAACAAAGGACCGTGTGTGCTGTATGTTTTTGTGTAAGTTAGATCGGCAGAAAATACTGCGTCTTTCTGTGCTGCTGTACAGTTTCATTATGGTTTGAACAATATCAAGATCAGTGATCACAATCGTTATATCAAGCTTTTGAATACAATTACACACTACACAGGGTGTTACAAAGATGCGTATTTATTTTGTCTTTAGCCCACTCTTCCTAATTTGAACTACGTCACAAGTAGCGACCGCTGACCTGACTTGTTTTTGTTGTTCGACAGATGGCAGCCTGATTTACACACCGGTCGAGAGTAAGATCCAGCTCAACTCGAGCGTCACACTGATGAGGAAGCGACCTTACGAGGAGACCAACGGCATCGATGGTATGTGGGCCGTGGGGGAGGGGGGGGGGAGCGATGGCATTGTAGGCAGTCAGGGAGCAGCCGATGGTTCGGCCAGTCAACCAGGCATTGCTCGTCAGTGTGTGTATATTCCCAGTGGCAAACTCTGCACCCTATCTGTGTGGGCGCTCACCAACTGACCTCACGCCGTCCGTGTCTGTGTTCCAGTGAGCATCTCGAAGCGTCCCCGCGACTCTGTATCGATCACACCGATCCCGGCCCCCACTGCGGCGCCACCGGTGAGTGAGCTCGGCCCTGTGAGCCTGGGAGGCCGGGAAGGGAAGGGTGTGGGGTGGTCTGTCAGTGAGTGGTCAGATTACACACCGCCGCGGCACCGCCGAGTGCGAGAAGGATACAAACTGTTGACCCGCAGCCATGGAATCGGAAAGCCGTTTGCAGATGCAGATGTTCTCTTGAATCGTCTAGGGGTCCGTTTATTCGTATTCCCTGAGAATAATCTACCCGATACTGTGTTTTCTGATAGCTAAATGCGAATATGTTGGGCTCAGCACAGTCTTGCGCCTAAGTCGTATTGCGGATAAGTCGTTACTCTACCTATGGCCCCGGTTTGCTTTCCTCTGCGTCTTCTGTGTCATTGTGACGCGCCCCCGTGATTTTGAACAATGAAACTCCTCCAACTGTACCAGGTTTACGTTGCCTTACCAGACACTACCTACCTGATTGGCCCTCTCTGGTTCAGACAATGCTTCGATAACCCCTCAACGTACCCTGACAACCTCTAACTCCCTTCTTCTGCCCTGCCGGTGCAGCCGGCGGCCCCTCGCTCGGGGAATCACGTGAACGGCGGCGGCCGGGCCAAGATCGCAGCCGTCACCCGACTGGGCGGCGGACGTCAGAAGGTGATCCCCCTGGCGGACGCGCCCGACGACGTGTTTCACGTGGCCAACGCCAATACCAAGTGAGTGACGGAGACGGGGAGGGAGGTGATGAGGGAATGCGGGAGTGGGAACAGGGTTTGGGTGGGGGTAGGTGGCCATCTCCAATACTAACTCCAAGTGAGCAATCGAGAGCTGGGGGAGGGATAAGGGAGGGGAAAGTGTTTGGGTGTTGTTTGGTGCTTTGTCGCGCTGTTTTGGAAGATGCGATAGTGGATATCTGCCTAGGATAAGACGTTTCGTTTCTTGAGATTGTTTACCGGGTATTTGGGGAATGCTGATGGTGGATGTCGGTTGTTGTGTCTGTACGTCTACGTACCCTTCGGCGTCGAGTGTGCCATATTCCGTCCGGACATTGCTATCGCACTTCGTCCTTGTGCAGGTGCAGGATGTGCAAATTCAATTTTTGAGTTATGGTATTTCCCAGAAGAATGATTTGGAATGAAGACTTCGAAAAATATAGTTTTCATGTAGTACGTCCCATGACTTCTGGTCCCGACTGACCGTCTACCCGCCCGCAGGCGGATGCGCCGCCGTCTGACGCCGCCGGAGCTGCGCCGAGCCGCCCGCAAGCCGTGGCGGCGCCTGGCAGTGACCATGTGAACGAACTCGGCCGCCGCCGCCGCCGCCGCCGGCTGAACCGCCACCGGACGCCGCCAGTGTACAAAGTCTCGCTCGCGCCGGGTCAGCCGGCCGGACGGCGCCCGCGCGCGGCGCGCAGGTGTGCCGTGAGTGTCAGCCAATCAAAACACGGACTGGACCGGGACGCCGGCGGCGCCGCCTGCGCCGCGTCGCGCGCCGGCCGCGTGTGTGTCACCGTCACTGGCTGCCGCCGCCGCCGCCGCTGCCGCCGCCCACATACACCACCACACCACACGTCACGCCGCCCCCGAGCTGTTTTGTTTGTTCTCTACCGAAATGTGTGCACGTGACCGCGTCTCTGCCCTGTGGACACCGTCTGGGTTTCTGGCGCGATGGTCGCCACTGTTTCTCTGTGCTCTGTCGCTCCATGTCTCTGCCCAGCCCTCTCTGCGCATCGCTCTCTCGCTCTCTCTCTCTCTGCGTTCGCGCGCCTCCCGCCGCCCGGTGTAGGAGCGCGCGCGTGCGCCGCGCCGACACCGATAGGTTTACGTCTGGACGCGAATGTTCGGCCGCACAGCGCGCGTGAATTGCTATTTATTCCAGCTGTCATGTCATTTTTATCTCAGTAATAAACAGCTAGTGTTCTTGCCCGGGACGGTGGAGGAGTGTTTGCAACAATGAAGGGTACTTTTGCATGCCGTGCAGTGGATGGACAGATGCCACGATTTTAGTGAGTTGAGAGGAAGGGTTGTGCACAAGTTGTGCAGAGTGACGGTGCACGGTCGGAACGGGGCCGCGCCGTCCGGGGTTAGTAGGGAGACTGGGCCCCTGTGACCGATACCAGTGACAGCCGATGGTTATGTGGCGGGGGAGTCCCCGCTGTCGCGCTCCCCAGTTCTGAGACAGCGTGCGGCGGCGGCGGCGGCTCACAGTAGTCTCAGAGGTCTGCAGCTAGCATGTAGACTGGAATCATCAAAGGGCGGACAAGCGCTGCTGTTTCGCCCGACCTCAATGGAAACGGGACAGGGGGGACGGGATTTGCTGCTTTAGGGAGCGGGGCACAACCTCTGTTGTAACTTTTGGCCTGCCCCATTATCGTCCGAGGTGGGTCAGCAGTAATGACAGACGTAACTGGTTAGGAAATGCGGGGACATGGGGATCAGTCACGGTTAGTGTGCCGCAGAAATACACAGCTAGGACGGAGAGCGAGCGGGTGACGTCAGTATTCCGCCGTTAGAAACGAAGAACCTAAAGTAACCTCGGGTCGAGCGGGCACCCGGCGACCGTTTGCCGATGACTAAACCGCTCTCACCGAGCTACTCTGAAGGGGAGTACCCGCCGTACTTAAACATGCTCAGCGAGCATTAGCAAACTTTCCGCTATATTACCACATGATAATGTTATCAGACCATGGCAGCACACTGTTGGGTGGCTACATTGCACCTTGTATCATAGCGTCATGTAAAACGGCCGGCTACAACACCAGCTAGGGAGGAGAGGAAGGGTTTACGTCTGCCACATAGTTCACTCCAGAGCGCCAAGGAAACACTTAAGTACACACAAAAATGTTCTTTGCAGTCAGGCAAGAGATGGTTCTCGAATTCCACAACCACAAGAAGCTCCCGACATAGTTAACCGGCAAATGTTGACAATCCAGTTTGGTATACTCATCGGATTTCATCGGCTAGGTTGTTCTTGGGTACACTGTGTTGCCGCTGCAGGCAGATTCTCACGAGCCAGTCGAAACGGGCACACCATGACACTCGCCGTGAACAGCAGTTATGCAAGGATCGTATTATGTATCCTCCTTCAGCCCCCATCCCTCCCTGCTGACCGCACGCCGTGCTCAAACTATTCATCACAATGCTAGCAATCGAGCTCCAAGTTTCACAGGTCAACATCGCCACAGCCACGGGCCGCTCTCGCCAATCGTTCAGCAAGGTTTAAAGAGCACAACAGCACACCGACGCACAAATCCAGCTGGACACAATAAACGCACTTCACATATTAGCGCAACAGCCCGCCAATAGCACTGACCAGGAGCCTTCGAGCCGCGGCGGGCTCGCACGCACAGGCACACGTACCGCCGCGCCTGGGGCACCACTCACGCCACGTAGCTATACTCGTCCGGCGCGTCGGCCACGCGCGCCAGGTACTCTTTGTCTATCAGCACGTCGATACACTTTTTGATCATGGGTATCTGCGGCGTGAAGAGGGAACGGGTCTGGCCGAGCGCCTCCTGCACCAGCTCGTTGTGTCGGAGTCGCTTCCGCGCCTTCATGATGCGGACGATAGCCGCCTGGAGGCACATCTTTCGGCCCTCGTCTACCTCGCGCTGTGTCTGCTCCACCTCAGTCTGGGCCTCGCGCGGCGCCGGCGCGGTCTGGACACGGAACCGGGTACGCCGACTGCTGAACTCTGTGTTCAGCGTCAGCACGGCGCCCGGCTCGGAGGCGGGCGAGCGGTCGCACGTCAGCAGCTTGGCGTCCACCAGCGCCTGGACGTTACGCGCCAGGTGGTCGTCCGGCAGGCCGGTGGTGAGCTGGATCTCATCCACAGACAGCGAGTCAGCCGTCTCGAACAGTACCAGCACGGCCATGGCGAAGGTGTGCAGCGTCACCAGGTACATCCGCGGCAGGTAGCCGAGCCGCAGCTCAGCATGACTAAGGTGGTGGAACCAGGACAGCTTGCGGCCGCTGAACTTGCCCTTGTAGAACTCCTCAAAGTTGGTGATGCTCTGCTCGAGCTGCTGGGGGACGCGGAACTCGACGATGCTGGTGATGGGGATGGGCCAGGCGCCCGACTGGATCACCTTGATGGCCAGGTTGTGGTTGAGCGTGACGCCGCGCTCGGTGAGGAAGGCGCAGAACCGCTGCGTGTGCTCCTGAGACACGTTCACGTCGCGCAGCATCTGCGACAGCTTGTTGGTGAAGTCGTAGCCGCACGTCTGCTTGAACTTGGTCACCATCACCTCCTCAGAGTCCAGGCTCACCGTGTTGTCGTACATGAGTCGCTTGCAGAGGAACTTCTGGTAGTGTTTCTGGAACGCATCCTTGTCTTCGACAAACTTAAATATGGTCACGATCGTGGCGAGTCGCTCCTCTAGAGACGACTCTGTGACGCCTTTGGTGGACTTCTTCAGCAGCGAGTCGCAGTAGCGCACGAGCAGCTCTGGCGCGGCGCAGTGGCGGTCGCCGGCGCCGCGGTGGTTGACCACGGCCGAGCAGGCGCGGCACAGAGCCGCCGTAAACAGCTGGTCGTCTCGGAACACCTCGCTCACCAGGCCCGAGTACTTGGAGTGCACGTGCAGCACTGTGTCAACGAAGGCCGCCGGGCTGTCGGTGCCGCGCGCAGACATCAGTCGCTGCACGCCCACCGTCCTGACGTGTTCCTCCAGCTGACGCACCAGCTGTTGCAGCGGCTCCGGTCGCTGCAGCGGCCGCAGCAGCTCGTACAGGTGGCGCAGGTCGTCGCGGCGCTCCTCGCGCACCATGGTGGGCACCTCTGCCAGGATCAGCTCCAGATGGTCCTCGACCAGTCGGGCGCGCAGCTCGGCCAATGCGCGCCCGTGAGAGCTCGAGTTGAGGTAGCTGATACAGCGCAGCTGCTCGTCGGCGATCACCTGCAGCACGCGCGCCATGTAGCCGTACACGTCACACTCGAGCAGCAGCTGGCTGGCCGTCCGGCCAAAGTACTCCCCACTGGCGCGCAGGTAGGCCTTCTCGAACACCGTCTCGTACAGCTCGAGTTCGTTGGCCTTCTTGTAGCCCTCGGCGTCGACCAGCGACTGAATGACGTCACGGATGACGCCGTGCTCGCCGTCCGGCAGCCCGCCCTTACGGTACGTGTTGATGCGCTCCAGAAGTTGGTGCACCAGGGCGTCCTGGAAAGGCTCGATCATGTGGCGTCGCCAAAGCGACAGGCTGAGCTCGCGGATCTCCAGGATGGCCGAGTCGCCGTCCGCCTCGTATCCGCCGTAAATGAGGTCCGACAGCGTCACCTTCTTCTTCTTCAGGTGCTGGATGTTGAGGTAGATGAACAGCTTGTCCAGGTAGTGGGAGCCCTTGTTGTACACGAACCAGGCCTTGTGATAACAGGTGAGCAGGTTGGCCTCGCCCGCCTGTCGGATCTGACGCTGCAGGTGCTCCACATGGTCGCGCAGGAACGCCTTGATCTCGGTGTAGAGTCGCGCCGCCTGTGGCTCCGGGTAGGCCACGCACAAAGCGTACACGTCGGCGAAACGGTCGTTCCACACGTCCCGCGGTACGGCGCCGAGAGTGATGACGCCCGAGAGCGTCTCCCGTATGCCACCCCAGGTGGTGTCAAAGTCCACCTGACGAGGTCTGAGCGACATGACGCCCACCGACTGTCGTCCAACGTCGCCTGCCGCGGACGAGAGGACAGTCAGAGCACTGCACTCTGGGTGACGAGAGAGGGAGAGTTTGGTCACAAGTTCACAATAATGAACTTTGAATGGCAGTGGGAGAAGATGAGGACAAGATAAGGTCGACAAGATAAGAAATATCAGATAATGACAGCTTAGAGACTATTCTGGAAATCACATATTGGATATTGAACCAGGGAAGGATGCTTTAATCATTGCTTCAAGCTGTATTTCTCATAAAAGTTTAACAAGTGAAAAGCAAAGAAAATACATGATTCAAGTTATGGCTGGTCGATTAACATATAGAGTGCAATCATATGGAAAACAAAACACAGGATCCTTACCAATTAACAGCTGATGTGTATTTTACACTGAATGTTACAACCAGTGTTGACCTTAGTACTCATAAAATTGGATGTGTCCTGAAAAGCAATATTGAGGGTTAGCTTAGCATGGTTAGAAAATTAACTGTTATGCCAAACAAAGTAACCAATCATTGATGATCATGTGGACACCATCATAAATGAAAGCAAACATTACTAGCTAATCTACAATTAATTCAATTTTCTAAATGCATACAAATGGCATGTGAAAATGAGATAATTCAAAGAAGCTAATCATTCTTTCATTTGTATGTGCCTTGCCCAAGCACATCCAACATTGGTTTAGGCTTGCTGCTGGCTACACAATCCCATTGGTCCTACCAGAAATAATGTGATTTATAAGTTCTTATCCATTAACAAACTTATCACAACATATCATTCCAGAATATGCTACATTATGTTAAATACCTATGCATGATCTAGTTATTTAAAAAGTATATTAGCCAGGAAAGATTAAGATGAATATGCCTTCTCCTCTTCAAACTATGATATTGAAAATGCTAAGTTTGGCCTTGCATTGAGATAGGAGTAAGCATGTGCATTCATTGTTATGTCTCTCCTGATGCCATTTCTTAGACAGCTATCCATTTCATGCACCTGTTTCCTGCTGATATGTTATAGCTGCAAGAAAAACCAATTTCAGTTGGCTCAAATTCATCTAAAATTTGAGGAAAGCTGAAAGGATGGATCCATGGGGCTTGGCTCTTCAATATCCTAGCTTAATGAATATGCAATGAATCTAAGCAATTAAGAACATATGGGCATGAGGCATCCCATTCATGAGATTAGGTCAGTAAGAATCTATTTTGGCTTTGGACTAGCAGCAAAACTAGAAGCCACCACCCCTCAATAGAGTTTATTTCATCAGTTTCCAGTCTATGAGCTGAATAAATGACAGTGCTGCACCACTTGCCGCAAATGCATGGAGATAGAGCCCCCATGACACACATTGAACAGCTTTCAGCTTTCAGCTTGCCAGTCTTTCAGCTTTCGAAGTTTTGACAACGTTAAATAATTAGGGGATTGACCTGTTTGTAAGCTTGTCAGGGGGCACAGAAATGCTGACATGCAACATTTGGTGCGCAAATGGCTTGTCGCCCCTTAGTGACCTTTCTCTGTAAGTTGAATTCAGGAAACGGAGCTTCATGTGAAAAAAGTCAAGCATCAAGCACTACCTCAACAATCAAGGAGCATTGAATTAAGCACAAAAAACAGCTCAGCAGGCTGCACCAGCATCACACTTCTTGGCTCGCATGGTTGTGATCAAGAGCTTTCTTTTGTGAGAAAAAATAATGAGAAGATTAGAAAGTTAAGTTGCTGCAGGTGTACATTTTCAGTGTAACTTTACACTGTATAGAGTAAAAACTGCAAATCCAACTACCTCCTGCTCGCCCCAATTGCGCTAACAAACACTCCACTCAAATCCCAGCCTCCACTGGCCTCCAACCCCTAACGCCCTAATTATTATTTTTTTCACACGCGCCCTCCCAGCCTTTTCTCGCGCAAACATTTGCACAAGTGCACCATAAATGGCAAGTTTTCATATCACCAGCTGATCACTAAATCACTGCAAGAGAACTTAAAGATAACGCTGATACAACTCATTTTCTAAGTGCACTTTATGTGCAGAAGTTTATTTCCGTACTCAAATAGGTAAATGTTTTTCTTTTTTATACCAAAAAATAGCAAAAGCATACAAAAGAAAAAAGAAGACAGTTTTGAGGGACCATAACAAAAAGAAGAATGAATTCCTAGTCCACGTTGAATACTGTTCGACAGAGTACAAAACCGGTCAGCATTTTTTTTGTTGACAAATTGCCTAGCAACAAACAAGCGTTCGAGGCTTGGATTGGTGTTTCTCCGAGAGGTGTTTATAACTTTCACTGTATGAATAGAGTCATTTTTGAGGACAAGAGATGTCTCAGTCTGAATCGTCTGAATCTGCATTTGGTATTTTTCATTGCCAAGTTATTAATGCTTGCGAGGAAGAAGAGGTTCATTTTTTTACTTTTTAGTTAAATCTGAGGCATTCGAGTTTGACCCATCATTTTGGTCCAACCAACGTAAGTATAAAGTAAATTGTGAACATTTTTTTTTAAAGGTGAATGTCTCCTAAAAGCCCACTTCATGAAAAATATTATTTGGGGCTGGATATAAACATCAGGCTTGGTGATATATTTCCCATTAGTCATGAGGGTGGCTAGACTAGTGTATGATATTCAGGCTTAAAAGTAAATGCAGCTCATGATTATTGCATTTATCAAACTCATAAATTCAAACTGAACTGGTCTCGAGTCATTTTGCAGTGCTAACCTTTTGTGTGTTCATAATTTACAGGGTGAAGCCACAAGATAACTGGTATGCTGGTGGTGGTGGGTCCATCTGGTTCTGGGAAAACCACACTAATCCAGCGCCTGCAGAGCGGCCAGGCTCTGACCGAACTGCACACCACTGTGCCCACTGTCGGCTCCAACATCTCTGACCTGCGAATTGGCACCAACAAGAAATCACCTGTCACTGTCAGAGAGCTGGGTCAGTTTCTGGCTTGGATGAAAAGTTGTTGGATGTTTGTTATACATTGTTTCTTAGAACCTGAACCTATTCTACAAGGCCTACTGATACTTTTCTGTATTGACAATATTGTATCAATGCTTTGATAAGAAAGCCAGAAGAGAGAATAGGGTCATTACTGCGGAAAATTTGAAAGTTATTGAGATAGGTGGCTAAACATTTGTTTTGGATGCATGTTTAGATAGCTGTAAAGAATGGTAAAACCTGCCTGGGGCCAGGACTTTTATATCTGCAATCTGCACTGTCAGCCTCATAGGCGTCGCCAGAGATTTTCGGTTGGGGGGGCAAAATCAACTTTTGTGTTAAATCTTGCCTTCCTCCAGTCGTTACTCATTCATTTTACATATCATTCAACGCGCAATGGTGCGAGGAATACGATGGTGACAAGGTTTTCCTTGTAGCTATGACTTGCCATTTTTTTTACATAAAATTTATTTTTTTTAAATTTGTGAACAAAAAACGACCGGTAGAATCACAATGGCTGCGCTTGCCGACGCACTCTGGAGAGCCCCTGTGCAGACGCTCGTCGCTCATGATCATAAAAAGGTTAAACGCTCAGCTTAAGCGAATCACCTTGCTGAAACTTTCATTCACGCATGCATGCAGAGGTTCTACGTAAAATGCATAGGGCTTATCCCAGCCGCCGATTGAAGCTAAGTAGGGCTTTCAGCGGAGAGTGAATGTCGGAAGTGTGAATCGGAAGTAATTCATCTTTGCTCCAGTGAGAGGAGGTGTAGTGTGAACAAAAAGTTTCTCGTTTTTCGTGTGTAGGAAAGCGCTGCAAACGCGAAGAAAAGACGTTTAACGGAACCAAAATTTCGCACGGCATAGCGGCAAGGGATCCTTTAGCGATAGGCTTGGGACTTCCAGGCCATTTTAGGCCCCTCAGGGTCAGTGTGGGCTCTCAGAAGCCTGCTTACTGCTTAGGATCCTGAAAATCGGCGCTGGTCACCCCAAATAGTTACGTGTACATATGTGGTGCTTTAGGGCTTTCCGAGCCCAAGGTGGGACCCTCAGAAGCCAGTGTGGGCGGCGCCGGCGGCGGGCGCTAAGAGACCAGGCCCAGGGTGAGCAGGGAGCCCTCAAATAGCAGTGTGAACCCTGGAGGTCTGTGTCGAATCCCTAAGGACCCTACATAGGGACATAAGAAACATGTGCTGGGACCCTCAGAGGCACACCCGAGTCGTGACCCCTAAACTGCAGGCTTAGGCTCAGCAAAATCTGTCGCCTCAAAAGCTCGGCTGAGCTATCAGAGGCCTAAGGTTCTCAGAAATATTTGAAAGTATCCTCAAAGATCCGTGTGGCCCTTCAGAGGTCTACGCATGTGTAAGGTCCTCAAAGATTCCTGTATGGGCCCTCAGAGAATATGAACACCAGTGGGACTCTCAGAGGCCGGTTTGGGCCCTCTGAAGGCTTCTTAGAGCTCAGTGGAGCTCCTTCGGAGCCTGTGTGAAAAGCAAGCAGTCATGAGCCCTGTGGCACTTGAACGGTACTTGAGTCTGTCGCAGACATTTGACGAGAGTTGAGAAAGGCCCGAAGATTCAGTGTCACGCTTTGAACGCAAATTTTGTATCAGCACTTCAAAACTTATGAAAATCAGCTATAAAATGTAATAAAAAACCAACGAGGAACATGAAATGAATCACAGTATTGACACTTCCGAGTCTGGAGTCGGTGTTTTGACGATGTTGGCGACTGCGACTCCGACTCTGGCTTGAACGAGTCTGACCTCACAGGCATTCTCAGAAAGGTACCCCCATTTTTTTCCCGACTCCAAAATCTCATCGGATCTGTATCGATCTCAGGGGGTGCCCGGTCCGAGGTTGGGGGGGGGGGGCAAGTTGCCCCGCTTGCCCCCCCGTGGCGACGCTAATGGTCAGCCTATTGTCCTTACCAAAGTCAATGCAGCTATGCTTTGCAGACTGATTCAACACTGCAAATTTGCTGATGCAAGGCTATGATAAACCCACGGCCATATTGTAAATATATGTGGAATTACCACAAACTCACACAAAGTACAGGCTGCTGCTCTGCCTAATCCTTCATACAAATTATTAGACAGTCTATATTATTTCTGTGTAGTTGATACTTGCTGATACAATGCAACACAATGCTCTTTCTACAGTGTGGGAGTAGTTTGCTCATTCATCCTCTCATTCATTCCATTCAAATTCATCTTATTGTGAAAACAGAACCAAGTTCAGCATTGCAGTTGGTAGATACAAGCACTATCTACACATTTGCTGAGCAGCTCGACAATCGGCCGCCAATCCTCCGCCGTGCCGCCCTGTGACGCGACCTTTACTGGTACCAATCGCCGCCCCCCCCCCCCCCCACCCCCACCGGCGTCCGGACACTGTGACGTTTGGTCGCACCTATACCCCACCGGCCTCCATTATACAGGGTGCTACGTCAAGTCGCCGTTATCGTACACGTGATTTCGTACTTAGCACAACACTACAACTCTGTTGGTTTATGCACTGTGTCAGGCGGCTGCCGACAGGTCGTTTATTGTTTATTGTTTATTAACCACATAACACCCACAGGCAAATCGGCCCATTTAAGGGTAAAGTCATGTGATAACATTACATACATGGAAAGCAGTGAGTAAAATCAGTCGATATAGCTGCCCAGTGTTCGGTCGTACTGGAGAGTCTCGCGCCGGAAGGACGTGGAAGGGTGGTAAAAGTCCACCGACGTGCTCCAAATGACACTATCGTCATTACGCGACACGCTATTTCATACTCGGCACAGTTCGATCACTGCTGGTTTATTCCCTGCGACAGGTGGCTGCATGAGCCCGCTGTGGCCGGTGTACTACACCGCTGACGTCAGTGGAGTCATCTACGTCATTGACGCCTCTGACGTCACGCAGACGGCGTGCGCCGCCGTCCTCCTGGTGGAGCTGCTCGAGCATCCGCAGCTGCAGAAAGCCAAGGTACAGTCAACAATCATTATGGTATATGTAGTCTGTTTCCAGAGATTTATCATCGTTCAGTCACTTGTTTATTGTTTTTGTTCGGTTTTGCGACCTTTTACGTGGAGGAGCGTATTGCTTGAGCAAGGTCTGTTTTTGCCCGTGTTTTATTTTTATTTTTGCTTCTTTTTGCTTGTTTCTGCATTGCTGAAGCTCAGATACTAAATTGTTTCTTTTTTTCTTCTCTCCTGCACCTTTTCGTTCAATTTAATAGCCGATGTTCCACCGAGCAGTGTTAGGCCGTTGGTTGGATGCCATGAATCTGTCGGTGTTCCCTATTCTATACAATTCCACCGGCACCCACTCGCTCTACCCTCCCTTCGCCCAGGCACACGCTACCGCCCCGAGGTCCGGCCTCCGACACGCTACTACGGTCACCAATGGCGCTCATTGTGGAGTTCCACTCTCGGCCGGGCTGTTTCGCCTCGCTACCGCCGGCGGCGCTGGTGTCGTCTGAGTCGCGGCCCACGGTACGGGTGCGGACGGCCGCCGGAAGGACTGTGTACCTGACGTGCTCGGGCTGGACGGCGCCGGCCGGGCGGCTGCTGCTGCACCGTCGGCTGGCTCGCTGTCTGTCCCTCTCCGCCGGGGAGACAGTCAGTGTGACAGAGGTCCGCCCGCCGCCGTGCCGCCGAGCCGTACTGCGGGCGCACACAGACGCCGATTACGAGCTGCTGGCACTGAGCGGCGCGCGCCTGCAGGACGGTCTGCTGGAGCGGGCCGGCTGTGTGTGGCCGGGCGCCGCTCTGCCCGTCTGGCTGGACGCCCGGAATGTGGTGTCAGTGACTGTGGTGCGCGCCGAACCGGCGGAGTGCTGCCTCCTGGTCAGAATGACCGAACTGGAGATACAGCCGCCGGCGGTGGAGCCTGCTCAGCCGCCGACAGCTTCAGACGCAGCGAGAGAGACGGCCGGCGACGGGGAGACTCTGGTACAGAGAATCAGCAGGACGCTCGGTCTGGCGCCTCCGAGACCTGAAGAACGACCGTCTGCGGACCCGGAGGTTCCCCCGCCGCCGCCCTGGACTCTGCGAGCTCACTCACTGCCGCCTCCGGAGGGACTCTCGGCCGCTGAGACATTCATCTCTAACCGGGTCTGTTTCTGCATAGCCGAAGACGCTCCGGCCGGCGGTCTGGGCTGGTGTGAACTGAGCTGTGGTTCCGCTACCGGGACATGTGCGCCTCCTCCACCGGCCGTGGTCCTGCTCCTGGCACTGGATCGGCCGTCAGAGCGGTACTCAGCGCTCTGGACAGCCGCGGAGGCCGGCCAGGTGAGCCGACTGGCAGCGGCCGGCGCATTGCTGGTGCCGGACGTGGTGCGGCGCCAGCTGCGGCTGCGGGTTAGTGATCCGGTGACACTGCGCCCGCTGGTGCCGGGCAGAGCTGTCAGCCAGCTGGCGTGTGTTTCTGAGGTCAGACTCGAGCCGGCACAGCTGGATACAGTGCGTCACCAACTGACTGCGTGGCAGCGCTGCCTCGGCGACACCACTGACATCTGGTGGCGATCCGGCGCACTGCTGCGGCTGGTGGACGAGCGCTCGCTGCGGCCGTTTGATGTGGTCCTGGAGGCCGACTGTGCGGCGGTGTTTCGCGTGCCGGCCCCGCCGAGTGTGGAGCTATCCGCCACCTGTTTGAGCTCAGAGTACGGCTCGGGAGGTCGGCCCGCCTGGCCGCTACCGGTCGAGGAACTCCCGGAGCTGGCGCTCCCTCCCCCGCCGGGCCCGGAGACGGCATTCACGGCATACAGTGCCGAGCAGCGGCGACTCGAGTCGTGGCTGCGCCGCGCACTGACCTGTCCCGGCCTGGGTCACGTACTGCTGACCGGACCCCAGGGCGTCGGTAAGACGACCCTGGCGCTGCAGGCGGCGCGCTGCCTCAGTCGGACGCCGCTCTGTGCCGTGGTGTCCCTACTCGACTGCAGCGCTCTGCTGGGGAAGAAGGCGGAGGCGGTCTTGGAGCGTCTGGGCAGGGTGCTGGCCGAGGCCGAGCGCCGCCAGCCGGCTGTGGTCGTACTGGACTCTCTGGACGCACTGGCGCCGCCAGAGCAGGAGTCCAGCGGTGAGCCGTCTCAGCGTGGCGCGTACTTCGCGCAGCTCTCGTCGGCGCTGCGCCGGCGGCTGAGCGCTCTGTCGGCGGGCGGCCGGCGGGTGGCCGTGGTGGCCACCGGGTCCGGTCTCCACCCGGCGCTCGGTCGGCCGGCCGGCCTGCACGTGTTCGGCCTGGAGCTGACACTGGCCGCCGCCGACTCTGCCGGCCGGGCGCTGCAGCTCCGCGAGCTGAGCGAGGGCGCGCCGCTGGACGGCGAGCAGTGGCGCCGGCTGGCCGACCGGTGCCGCGGCTTCACGGCGCTCGACCTGCGCCGGCTGGTGACCCGCGCGCGGCTGGCGGTCGGGGGTGGACGGCTGACGGAGCCGGCGCTGGCGGCGGCACTGGACGGCCTGTCGCCGGCGGCGCTACTGGAGGTGCACCAGTCGCGGCCGGCACCCGTCACCTGGCGTCAGGTGGGCGGTCTGCACGCCGTGCGGCGGCAGCTAGTGGCCGCGCTGCAGAGGCCGCTGCTGTACCCGGTGCTGTACGCACGCGCCGGCCGCCACCTGCAGGCGCGGGCTCTGCTCTACGGACCGCCCGGCAGCGGTAAAACGCTGCTGGCGCGCGCGCTGGCACACCAGGCAGACATCAACTTCTTCACGGTCAAGGTGAGCACATGATGGGGAGTCCGACGGACCGGGTGGGACGTTACAGAATGCTACTGGGATACGGGCGTGCAGTATGGGTGTGTTTCTCTGCTCATATAACACCGTCCACGGTGATGGCCAGGTGCTTTGTAAACTTTTTTCTGTAATGCCTGTCTCGCATTACTTTGATGTGTTGTGAGGTCGGCATTTGTAGGTAGAAACCTTGTTGCTGCAAACTGCAACACTCATAAAAACAGAAGCATAGTAGAGCGCAGAGGTTCCCATTTTTGATTTGCCCGGCGGTTGATCTCGTACTTTTTTTTTGCAGGGACCCGAGCTGCTATCCAAATACATCGGAGCGAGCGAGCTGGCTGTCAGAGATCTCTTCGAAAGGTGAGCACAATCTGTTCAGTGATGATCACGTAGATCGCACTTGTATGCTGATTGCAATGGTGGGGCGCAAGAATATCATTCTTGAAGTGATGTTAAGCAACCATGCAGCTTACATTTATAGCTCTTACTAATGTTCCTGTCCCAACTTATGGATGCCCATGGCGGTCCGTAAGGCCTATTTTCCTGCCTCGCTCACTGCCTGTCTCTGTTCTCAGGGCATCACGTGCCAGTCCAGCGCTGATATTTTTCGACGAGTTCGAGTCGCTGGCACCGCGGCGTGGTCACGACAGTACGGGTGTGACGGATCGAGTGGTGAACCAGCTACTGACGCTGCTGGACGGCGCGGAGACGCCGGCGGGCGGCGGTCAGCTGGCCCTGCTGGCCGCCACCAGCCGGCCGGACCTGCTGGACCCGGCGCTGCTGCGACCCGGCCGGCTCGGCCGCCTGCTGCGCTGCCGGCTGCCCGACCGGGGCGAGCGGGTCGAGATCCTGTCAGCGCTGACCGCTGAGCTGACGCTGGCCGCTGACGTGCAGCTCGAGCGGCTGGCCGAGCGGGCCGGGCTGAGCGGCGCCGATCTGCGCGCGCTGGTCACCGACGCGCACCTGCGGGCCGTGCGGGACGCCGCGCCGCCGCCGGAGCTCGGCGCCCAGTCGGACAGTGCCGGGGAGCGGCGCTGGCGCCTGGTGGACGGTCCTCCGCTGACACTGGACGAGACGGGGGCGGTGGACGACCACCCCGCGCTGGCGGCTGCGAGGGATCCCAACAGTAGCGGAAAGGGCACTGCAGACTCAGCCGACCGGACAGCTGTGGTGATCTCTCAGGCGCATCTCCAGGCAGCCCTGGCCGATCTGAGACCGTCACTCTCACCCTCCGAGATGGCCAGATATGACGCCATCTATAGCCAGTTTGAGCGAGGCAGAGGCGCCGGGGATGGTACTGGAGATGAGCAGGGAATGGTCGGTGTCGGAGCTAGGCAGAAGGTGGCGCTACTGAACGGAGAGGGAGGCGCGAGCGAGACGGGCGCCAGGCAGCGGGTTTCGCTGGCATGATGGATCAGTTACGCCTCTCGTCGAACTAGGGCGCAAGTTTTCCATGACCCATCGCACCACTTTCTGCACTCGAGCTTAGTGTGCATGCTGCACTGTGTATAGTTGTTATGTTTGTTACTCTGGGGATTGTCCTTGTTTTTCGTTGTAAATGTGTTAGAAGGGTACGATTTGGCCCCATGTGGTTTGGTAGGTGCTATTCGAGAAGCATCACGGGAAATCGTTTGATATTTTTATACAAATGTCTATTGTGCGATCCATGGAACGGAAATAGCTCGTATCGATATGACGTTTAATATGATTAATACTCGATTTGCCAATCGCCCAAGCTGTTTAGTCTTGATTTTCCACTTTCATGTCCCTCAGCGATACTCCTCGACCCGTCCGAAACAACTCAAACACGCACACTGTCCGATGGGTCCCCAGCTGTACGTCAGCTTCCTATAACCCTCCCTCCGTCTCTGCTGCCGCGCTGTGACCTGCAGGTTCTGGTGGCGCTCACCAAGACTGACCTGACCACCCCGGCGGCCGTCACCGAGTACCGACTGCTGCTGCGGCTGGCTGACCTTCGTCAGCTCAGCGCCCTCCGGCTGACGGTGGCGGAGCTGAGCTGTCTCACTGACGCCGGAGTGGATCAGGTGGTCGACTGGGTGGCCGCCTGTGCCGGGTAGGAGGGGCGAGGGATGGGGGCTGTGTGGATAGGGGGAACTGCGTCAAGAAAGGGAAGGCGGTATTGATGACCCAGAAGGGGAGATCGCTTGGAATTACATACAGCATACTGACCGGTCACGAAATCATGTAGGAGGGTAAGGTGGCCGCTGGGTCTGTTTTAGACCCGATGATGCCTGAAATATCGTCGCAATAACCCCGCGCCATGTTCAATTTGTCAGCTGGTATACGGCATACACACGGGAGTTCGGTGCATCAATTTCAGTGTCGGTGGTTTCGTTGTGAAGTTATGGGGGTAATAGTTTTTACTGTGGTCGTGAAGTCAACCGTGGGCTCTTATTTACACCACGGGATGCTACGAACGCTGAGGTACTTCGTTATCAGTTCGTAGACGCATAGACTGAACGTTCGGGGGAAGATCCGGCGCGTATTGATAACTGCTGGGTATGGGGGCATCTCATTGATCGTGTATGTTATCTGGTCCGTCCTAGTCACAAATACATATCACCGTCGAACCGCACCGGCCGCCTTTTTACGTGATATTCTAGCTCCACGCCTTTCATGTGCATTTTGTTTTAGTCCCGAATAGAAGAACAACGCGCCGGAGCGACGTCGACTGTCGAGCTCTATCACACCTTTTGCAATGGACCCCACGTCGTTTTCTTCCCGTACCTGTCGAAGTTATCTACCACCTGAGTATTGTCCAATACCAGCACGCTAGCTCGGTCAACTCGGTACACGTATATTCATCACACGTCGTCAACACGGGGCAGCGCAGCGGCGGCAGCGGAGCTCAGGACGCGCAGTCGGGTAAGATACCGTCCCAGTGAGGGCCTCCTGTCCTCCCGACCCCCTCCCCTCCCCGCAGCGGGCGGGGCAGCTGAGCACGTCCAGTCCTCGACAACAACACCGCAATGGCAGCTCTTGGAGCAGACGGAACGACAGCACATAAATCACATCACTGCCGTCTTTACCGAGCTCGGGACAGGTCATCGTTTCAGCCGACAAACCAGATCTTTCGTAGTCCAAAACGCGAAGCTTCAATGAAGAGAGGATGACAACAGCTGCAGTTCTGAACGTCGAGCGGTGATTCCAGCTGACACCTGAAGCAGTCCGTCTGTATGAGTCCGTTCCGTCCCGCCGCGCTCCTGTACAATTCACTGGCGGGGCGCGCGGCCACGCTCGGTACAAGTCACAGCGCTGGGTGGCAGCAGCGGCCGGCGGCGCCTCTCAGTGTATCCTGGTGAGCTCCTCCACCGCCTTGATGATGTCGTCCACAGTAGCGGCCCGCCGCTGGCTCGACGAGTCGGTGATCTGTGCGGAAACATGGGAGCACACAGGTGAGACGGTGGAGAAACGAGTGGTGCTAAAGGATGCTTGCACAGGATTTAGTGGCAGCCCGGTGGCTCGTCGCCGTAGATTTAAACGCGCGAAAGCGTGATGGGTACCGAATAACAGCCGATCTTTCAGTATTTGGTTTCTGGTGAAGCGAATATGCCTGGCCTATCGACATCGGACTCTTGAACATCGGGAGTTGCACTTAAAAATGTGGTGGGTGTCGATTTGGTGTGAGGGCGGCTACATTCGACTTGTGGTCATTTATGTGCGTAATGCTCAATTTTACGTAAAAAAAAACAGCTACACACCCATAAATAACCAAGTGCACCTTCCGGTTCCCCATCCCCGACACCCAAACCACAACCACCATCGGCTCACCATGAGATCTCGGACGACCTCTGCCATCTGGTCCCGGTTCAGGTCCAGGAAGCTCTCGATCAGGTCGCCGTCAATGAATCCCTCGCACGGCTCCGTCTTTCGTTCGCAGCGGTAGGCCCGCCACGCCGAGTGTTCGATTTTGCCGACGGGCCGGATGACTCGTGTCAGCTGGTGCTGCAGCTCCGAGATGAACGAGTAAAACTCGGGCTCCAGCTGGGTGACTAGGCCTACGGAGAGCGAGGGGTATGTCAGGTCATACCGGGCGATACAAGTGCAAGCTATTGTTATTCGGGTGAGCGAGGACGTCAGCCACCGGAGCTCAGACGTGACCGGTAATGGGTGTCCGATGGCATGGTTGATACGGTCGATATGGTTGATACTCCAAAGTCCAAACTTAAGTGCCCAATTAGTGCCCCAAACTACTGAGCGTGACGACACCTCAGTCTTAGGAATGTTCTTATCCCAATGCTACCGTACACAACACACGTCCTGCACGGACCCATGATGAACCATCGATGACGTTGTGGTCCGGTGTCCACAGTTCTCTGCAGCAAGACCTAGGCCGAACAGAATGTCCACGGTGAGTACCGGCTTAATACCTCTTGAGCATTCCGTCCCTTGGGAACATACCGAACAAGCCCCGAACGTCCCACCGACCCCGAGGACGTACTTCTTCCCTCGTGTACGTACCGACGGAGCCCTGTACGGTGCCGAAGAGCACGCAGCCGGAGGTGGGCGCCATGCTCTCTGTGACTCCCTGCATCACCAGCGAGCCGTGTCGGAACACGTTGACCATGTCGCCCACGTGGTACCGGCCCACCTCCTGCATCTGCATCCGCTCCTCGTCCGTGGTGGCCGCGCTGTAGCGGGGGAGGGGGAGAAGGATGGTCAGATCGTCACAGAACACGTCGAACTGAAGTAAGGGCGCAAGAGTAGCATGTCTGTCACGCCGCTTTTCTGAGCGGTCAGGTTAAACAGTACAATCACATAGCTCACAGCCGATAGAGGGGAATCAAGACGGGAGTTTGACGGTCATGACTGAGACGCACAGTTGCGACCGAGAGGGAAGCTCTTAGGTGGCTAGTCTATTTCGCTCACCTGTCTTTTTGACAGACAAACAGATTGTGGCTGTTCTCGGCGCCCAGGTACGTGTCGTCGTCGAGGATCTCCACCGCCGTCATGTACTTGGCGTTGAAGTCGCGCGCCATCTGCCGACAGCGCTGGCGTCAGCGTCACCACATAGGTTGAGCATCTAAAGCCCTGGTACTAGAGCTGGAGACTTTGGCGACTTAGAAACCGATCCATGGACGTGCATGAGCACTTAAGTCGCCCCTAAAATCAAACTCACTTAACAAAAACACCAGCCCTTTTGATTCCAGACGATTTTAAATGCTATCTTCCTTCGTACTTAATCTACAGCCCCATATTCGGCCCAGGCCTTTGGCGGCGTGCACCTACCTCGTCAAAGTTGCCCTCCATGGCCTTGTACTGTAGCGCAGTGATGGAGCGCATCAGGTCTCCGACCAGCACAAAGTCGCCCTTGGTCTTGAGGTAGAGCGCTACCACGTTGTTGAAGTGACTGCACTCGAGTCGGAGCTCGTGCTCTGCTGTCCATTCGAATAGCCGCACCTGAGGACAGCCGCAGGCAGCGGGGGAGGTCAGAATAGCCGCGTATGTAGCGAGAGAGGTCAGAATAGCCGCGTATGTAGCGAGAGAGGTCAGAATAGCCGCGTATGTAGCGAGAGAGGTCAGAATAGCCGCGTATGTAGCGAGAGAGGTCAGAATAGCCACACCTGAGAGTTAAAGACAGTAGGCGACTGAGGAGGTCAGAACAACGTATCTCAAGCAGTGAGCGTCGCCGTGAGTCCGATTAGCCGGGGATAAGATCAATCATGGGGGTTGATAGATTAAGGCAAACTGAGTTCTGCTAAGGCCTACGGACTTAAGGAGGCACAGAATAGCGGAACTTCTTGGCTTCTATAGCACTTAAGTCTGTCTTCGGTCGCGATGCCTCCCGTACCGTGCTATTAATACTGGCGAGGAGTTTGCCGTTGAAGGCGGCCAGACTGTAGCAGGCGCCCTTGATCTCCTTCTCGGAGACCTGGTTCAGCTTCTGGTCGTTGTACTGGAACACTACGATCCGACCCTGGGGACACGGCGAGGAGGGTAAGATCAATCGATATTCGATACAATTTTTCAATCCCATGAATATTATGAGTAGCGAGCACTACAATACCATTTTATTGCTGTCTAGTCTACCAAATGACTTACCCATATCACTTTCTAGTCTAGTAGCACGGAAATAGTCTACGACATATATAGTCTGTCGTAGAATACATATTACGTGCTAGTAGTTAACTTACCCGCAGCACTTTTCCTATTAACATCAATACTAAGAGGCCCTGTTTTATGGATGTTATAAAGTATCGTCATTCGTCAGTCTTCTGCAGGCTTGTGCGACAGTAACTCCCTCTTTGCAGTATGAAATGCATCACTAAAATATTGTAGGAGACCTAATCTTTGTACGACGCAGAAAAGTCCCTCCTGATCATACCCTATCCACACTCCTCCCCTCATAGCGTCCTCACCGACACGCACCTGTTTGGGCTCTGACTCCTCGGGGTTGACGTAGGCGGTGCCGACAACGAAGTAGCAGGCCGGGTCGTTGTCGAACTTCATCGAGATCAGGCTGAGCGCATACTCGGAGGGTACGAAGGAGTGGGCGTGCTGCACCTCGAACGTGTGCTGGTCGATGATGAGCAGACTGTGCACCTCCACCTGTGACCAGAGCAGGAAGCGGGGGGGGGGGGAGGGGGCGGTCAGCTACAGTCTCGAAGGGAGCAGACGTGGATTTATGGTTTGACGCACAAATTGTGGGTTCACAGTTCACACGCTGCAAAACTACGGTATCGGCTACTTGAGACACTCACAGACTTCGTAGTAAATCGCTGATTGTTCAACGTGGTAGCGATGTTAAAGTTTTTTATACTTGACTGTTCAGTACCTATTCAAGAAGGACGCGGGGCAGCTGCACTCATGTCAAGTATGCACTGAATACCGACCTCCTGTCCCTGCTCAAGCTGCTGCAGTGAGGGCCGGTGTGGGTGGTGTGTATGTAGTGAATACCCACCTCCTGTCCCTGCTCGAGCTGCTGCAGTGAGGGCCGGTGCAGCTGACTGCTGGACGACTGTGTGATGGTTTTGGCCTCGGTGGAGGCGGACGGTCGCGGCGCCACCAGACAGCTGGAGCCCTGCTCGTCCAGTCGCATCGACAGCACGCCGAACGTCTGAGAAATAGACCCGTGACGTTAAAAACGACCAAGACGTGATAACCGACCAAAGGAAGAAATATCCGAAAAATATCCGAACTTCCATCTATCAAAACACAATTGATGTCATATCTACTTGCGGCTCAATGGGGACGAAGATGACTGTTGTTTCGACCTCATCCCTTCAGCTGCCGGTAACACACATGTCGCACAAAGCTAACCGTATTCAAACCTTTGCGAGGGTCGTTCTCTTTAGTTCCGTGAGCGGCCACACGCCGTGAGACGTCTCTCATCTTAGGGAACTACTGGTCACCGGCCTCTCATATCGATATACTCTGGGCCTCTCACCTCCGTGGACTCCTGGTAGGCAATCCGCCGCGGCGACTCGTACAGTTTGACGGAGCGGATGTGCAGCTTCTGAATGTCGTCCACCACGCCGATTGTGATGGTGGTGTCGGTGGCCAACGCCAAACTGGTCACACAAAACGAGCGGGCGAGACAACGTCAGTAAGAAAAAAATAGATATATCGGCTGAT